TTGTAACAGAAACTCTTTTTGAGTGACCTTTCAATGTGGATGCCTCAAAAGCCTGCTCACGTGAAGTGTTCTTATAAGATCTTTTAACAAATAGTAATTTATTTGGATAGTATCAAAGTGTTGCTTTTAAACAGCTAATTTAATGGTATTATTTTGCTATAATAGATTCTTAATAAGATGTTTATTTAGTTGGGGTAAGTTCTTTACAAGAACGTGTAAATACATTTTTTCGTTTCAATACCTTTACATGTTTGTTTATTTTGCTTTGGTAGCTCCAATGTGTACTCATTATCTTCAAAATAAATGAAAAAATTATGTTATATATTAAATAATAACAGTTATTTATAAAGTTAAAATACTAATTTTTAAATTAAATCTAAAAATGAAAAACTGAATAATAAATTCAAATTGGTATAAGTAGCATCATTTTCTTAGGATTTTTAATATCATTTAGATGATGCGATAATCCATCACAATACCATTCGATTAATTGACTCAAAAAGTGTATTAGAGATGTATCTACTTTAGTTTCATGATTTTAGTTTTCATCAAAATTTGCAGAAAACTACTTGTTTAAAAACAATCGATCATAACTTCAAATATATCATAATCGCATTACCTTGGGGACAAGGAGGTCTCTTTTGCCAAATATATGTTCGTATGCATTTGGATATTATTTTTATTATTTATGTAAATTGGATTAAAGTTATTTAACAATACAAACTAGATTATTTCGAATGTTTAGATTAAACTAAATTATGTAAATTTTGTCATAAAAAAATGCTAAATAATATATTATTGAAAAACAACATGTAGTAAAACCATATTTTAGTGACCTACAATTTTGAACAAATAAACTTAACTAAAACTTTTTTTCGGGTAAGACGACATGTAGTAAAAATATTATTGTTCAAATTCGAAAAATAAACTTATGTCTTCCAAATATTTTATGTAAACACAAAAACAAAACAAATCGATCAAATTTCTTAATGAAATNACATAATGTGGATATCTTATTGCTGATAGAGGAAAGAACNCGATNAATCGATGATTTTATTCATTTATCTATCCAATACATTTTATGTAAATCTATGATTTAATTAATTTTGTGTTGAATGTAAAATTTCAGTTTACAATCTTAATCTATTACTTTTTTTATATTATTGTTCCGCGCAACGCAGGGATACCTGCCTAGAAAAACAATAAATCAAATACTTTTTTCAATTTGGATATTATAATATACATATTTTTTTTTAATTTGAATAGATTTAAGTTTAAAAAATTCAAATTTTTAAAATTATTTACATAATGTTCTCTCGTATCTACACAATTTAAAACTTCCATAATATTTTTCATAAAACTTTTTTTTGGCTTTCCATTAGAAAAGATAGATTATTATATTTTTGATATGTAAAATAGAATACGACAATATATATTAGTTTTCCGAGTTTAATATGATATATTCTAACTCGATTTTTTGTTTGTTATTGACAACATTGATATGTCGTAATTTATTTTTCCAATTTTTCTTTTTTTTACGTTTAATAATTACTTAAATGGTAAAAGTAAAATTCAGATTTTTATAAAAAGTAATTAATCTTATCGAGACATGTTTGAGCTAATCAATTAGATTTATATAAGTAGAAAATAAGTTTTTTTAATTAGATTAGCCACATTTCAAAATATTTATCTATTTAAAAATAATAATATCTTGATTTGGTAAATAGTAAAATGTAATCCTACTTTAAATATGACTAGAAATATTTAACTATTTGAATATGTGTGATATAATTTAGTTC